TTGACCGAAGGGCTAGACTTAGCGGTTGCCGACATGTGCAAAGTGCCTGTGGAACTGCCGAATCAGCACTTTATGGACCTTTGGATCGAGAATGCTCAAATTGGATACCCTACAACTGAGAATCAGATCAAAGGAGAGCAAAAATTGCTGCCTAGCGAATGCCGCCAACGTGGTGTGTCGTACACCGCACCTCTCGTCGTGACACTTGCTCGTTCTTTCGGTGGCTCACAAAATGTCGAGCGTCTTCAACGCGTGGTGGGTGAAATTCCCGTCATGATACGCTCTAAACGTTGCCATCTCCATGGCATGACACCCATAGAGCTTGTCAAAGCGCGTGAAGAGGCCAACGAAATGGGTGGATACTTCATTTGCAACGGTAACGAGCGTTGCGTCCGACTGTTGCAGATGCCGCGCCGCCACCACATTATGGCAGTGCGCCGTGGTGCCTTTGCGAATCGTGGCGATTTGTATTCGGAACAGGCTGTATTCATGAAATGTGTTAAACGTGACCAATCTGCCGTGACCGTCACTCTGCACTATTTGCTTGATGGTAACGCTACAGTGCGCTTTGGTGTTAAGAAGCAAGAGTTTATGATACCTGTGGGTCTTGTACTTAAGGCATTGTATCCATTGACCGACCGCGAGATTTACGAACGTGTTTTGCGTGGTGACCATGAAAATACGTATCTTTCCGCTCGCGTGGAGCTCATTCTACGTGAAGCAAAAAAGTTTTCACTGTACTCACGTGATGAAGTCTTGGCATATCTTGGCAAGCATTTTCGGTTTGCCATGCCATATGTGTACGACAACATGAACAACATGGAAGTTGGTAATAAGCTGTTGGACGAGTTTCTATTCGTGCACATTCCAAAGGGTGAAAAAGGCCGCACTCAAAAAGTAGAACTGCTGTGTTTGATGTTGCGAAAATTGTATGCGTTTGCAAAAGGAGATGTACCCGAAGACAATGCGGACTCCGTTATGAACCACGAGCTGCTATTGCCTGGGCATTTGTACCTCATGATTTTGAAAGAAAAGCTGCAAGAATCGCTTGCTGCTATGCGCGCCAACATTTTAAAAGAGACACAAAATAAGAAGAAGGCAGTGGTAATGGACCAAGCGTTTCTTCGCAAGATGTGGGATCGGACCCCAAATATTGGTAATGCCATGACGTATTTTTTGAATACTGGTAATCTACGCTCTTCGAGTGGTCTTGATTTGCTTCAAATTGCGGGATATACTATTGTAGCTGAAAAGCTTAACTACTATCGCTACTTTTCGCACTTCCGTTCCGTTCATCGTGGTCAATTTTTCACCGAAATGAAAACAACAGCTGTGCGTAAATTGTTGCCAGACTCGTGGGGTTTCTTGTGTCCCGTACACACTCCTGATGGATCACCTTGTGGTCTGCTGAACCACTTGGCTGTCGAGTGTCAATTGGCATGTTATCCAGCATTCAACGCGGAAGACTATTTGCAACAAGAGTTGAAGATTTGTCGTTTTTTGACAAGTTTGGGAATGATCCCGAACTCTGGGTACACTGACGGTGCTTTGATCGTACCCTTTTCATATCTACCCGTCATGATGAATGGAAAAGTACTAGGTGGAGCACCTGCCGACGTTTGCAAGCGAATGGCAGGTATCTTACGCAAAATAAAGTCTGCCAAAAGCTCTGAAGAGCGTGACGAGAACGGTATAGTCTCAAACTTGGAAGTATGTTTGATCCTGCCCGTGCGAGGTGGTCCCTTTCCAGGTCTGTACCTTTCAGCCGACGCTGCTCGGATGTCTCGTCCAGTGATGCAGCTAGATACTAAACGTATCGAATATATTGGTCCAATGGAGCAAGTGTTTATGGATATTGCGTGTATGAAACAAGACATTCGTCCTGCGACGACTCACATGGAAATCAAACCTACCAATATGTTATCGCTTGTGGCGTCGCTTACGCCCTTTTCTGATTATAACCAGTCGCCTCGTAACATGTACCAATGTCAAATGGCCAAGCAGACAATGGGCACACCGGCTCATTCTATTGCGCACCGATCTGATAATAAAATGTATCGTATCCAGTCACCTCAGGCACCAATTGTGCAGAATGAACGTCTTCGAGAATACCAACTTGATGAGTATCCATTGGGTACGAATGCTGTTGTAGCGGTTATTTCCTATACTGGCTTTGATATGGAAGATGCAATGATATTGAACAAGTGTTCTTACGAACGTGGCTTTGCTCATGCTTCCGTGTACAAACAGCTGACTGTGGACATCAGTGCGAGTGGTAAACAAGGCAGTTCAACGTCCAAAAAATACTTTTCCAACATCAAAACAGATGGCAGTGGCGACTTTTGCTCCACCAAGTTGGATCGCGATGGGTTTCCACATATCGGTCAAGTCGTCAACCAAGGTGATCCCATCGCAAGCTGGATTGATGAAACAACTGGATCACCTTCATTCCAGAAACACAAGGAGACGGAACCCGCAATAATAGAACAGGTCAATATGATTGGAAATTCGTCTCAAGCGTCAGAATTCACAAAAGCAAGTATCAAGTTGCGCTTTTGCCGAAACCCGACCATTGGTGACAAGTTTTCATCCCGTCACGGGCAAAAAGGTGTGTTGAGTATTTTATGGCCGCAAGGTGATATGCCTTTTTCCGAGTCGGGTATTTCACCGGACATTATCATCAATCCGCATGCCTTTCCATCGCGTATGACGATCGGAATGCTGATTGAGTCCATGGCAGCCAAAACGGGGGCACTAAAAGGCAAATACATGGATGCAACGCCGTTTCAGTTCAGCGAAAAAGATCGTGTGATTGATTATTTCGGCGCACAATTGAAAGAACATGGGTACAATTATATGGGCAGTGAGCCGTTATACTCAGGGATCAGTGGCACACTAATGCATGCGGACATTTACATTGGTGTCGTATACTACCAGCGTCTGCGCCACATGGTAAGTGACAAGAGTCAAGTGCGTGCGACGGGCCCCATGAATTCACTGACTCGTCAGCCAGTAAAAGGCCGAAAGAAAGGAGGAGGTATTCGTCTTGGAGAAATGGAGCGCGACTCGCTACTTGCCCACGGTTGTGCCTTTTTGTTGCAAGATCGCTTGATGAATTGCTCCGATAGGCACATTGCAACTGTGTGCACGAATTGCGGCAGTTTATTATCGACTGCCACACAACGCTCTACTGTTGAGACCGCAGGTCAAGGTGAAATTGCCGTTGCGATGAAATCCAAGACTCAGTGGTATTGTACCGTTTGCCAAACAGGCGAGAGTTGTAAGCCGGTTGCCATGCCGTACGTCTTCCGGTACCTGGCAAATGAATTGGCCGCAATGAATATCAAGATTTCGCTGACACTTAAAGGATGTTGACGAAGTGGTCGCTAGCAAATAGATGTATTTGACTCTATTCATGTGATTTATCCGTTTCTATTTCTCTAATGTTCGATCGGTTTTGAAGGTTTGATTATCTACCGACGACGCTTGGTACACCTTTTCAGCGTCTTATGAGGGCAGCAAGCGACTTCAATGCGAACCTCCGTCACTCTCGGAGTCCAGGCAATTCGACACCGCGTGAAGGTAATGGTCGAAGTAGTCAATTGTTCCAGGGAGTGAAGATCCGTGTGTCTTCAGCTTCTAGTTCGCCATCCAATAGCGCAAGATCATCGCCTCATAGCACCACTGTCTCTCGAAGTCATTCGCGTCGAGCTCCTACAGCAGCGGCTGCAGCACCTGCGTATCTGCAACGAACAGCAATTTCCAACGCTTACAATGCGACTGGATCCTCCCGCAGTAGTGATGATGTCGAGACAGCGTCTGCATCCTCTGATCAATTTCACGGAGATCGTCCGTCATCACCAGCGCATAGCGTTTCGAGCACTGCTAGTCGGTTTGTAGAGCGTGGAAGCAACTTTAAAGTCGTAATTCGGGTGCGTCCACCATTACCACGGGAGTTGCACGGTGATCGACCATTTCAAAATGTCGTAAGCGTAGATACCCATGGTACCGTTTTGACTGTCTCAGAAAATCCTAGCGCATTGAGTAACAAAGGAAGTTTTGATAGTGAGACTGGCGCAATAGGTGCCTTCGGCTGTCATGTCTTTTCATTCGATCATGTGTACGACCAACATTGTACACAGGGCACCGTATACGAAAATACGGCAAAAGCGGTCGTCGAGTCTTCACTAGAAGGATACAACGCCACAATATTCGCCTACGGACAAACTGGGACTGGCAAAACGTATACAATGGAAGGATTCAATAGCGGATCTGGTAGTGTTGAAGAGCGTGGCATTATTCCACGCGCGATTGAGCAGATATTTTGCCATATACAAGAAAATGTCTCGGTACGATGCCGATTTCTCGTTCGCGCATCGTATTTGCAAATTTACAACGAGTCCATTTCGGATCTTCTCAAGCCCGAAAGGTCCAACCTAAATATCCGCGAAGATCGACGTCGTGGAGTGTTTGTCGAAGGATTATCGGAATGGGTTGTACGATCACCCGAAGAAATTTATGGACTCATGGAGCGCGGTGGGGCCATGCGTGCAACTGGAAGTACAAAGATGAACGAACTTTCATCGCGAAGTCACGCTGTATTCATCATCATTGCAGAACAAAGTAAGACAGCGTATGTGGATGCAAAAGGGAACGATGTGGCACCTGAAGAATTTATGGCACTTGTAAACGCGTATCAAGCACGCCAAAACGGAGGATCCACATCTACAACTGGCACAGGAGGAAAATCTTTAAACGGAATTGCTGCATTGCACCCGAAGCTAGAATCTATGATCCGCCAAAGTTTTAAAGTTGGGAAACTAAATCTAGTAGATCTGGCGGGCTCCGAACGCGTCCGATTATCGGGCGCTACTGGTCAACGATTAGAAGAAAGTAAAAAGATTAATCAATCTCTTTCAGCACTTGGCAATGTCATCTCAGCATTAACGGACGCGCGAGGACGTCAACATATTCCATATCGAGATAGTAAACTTACTCGTATTTTAGAAGATTCTTTGGGTGGAAATTGTAAGACCACTATGATGGCAATGGTGTCACCAGCCTTAGAAGCGATGACTGAATCGCTGTCAACGCTCAAGTTTGCACATCGTGCGAAACATATCAAGAATGAGGCTCGGGTGAATGAAGATCTTGATCAAAAGTCACTTCTTCGGAAGTATGAGCGAGAGCTTAAAAGACTACGAGCGGAATTGGATGAACGTTCTAGAAATGTCGTGGACAAGCGTCGATTGCTTGAGTTGGATGAGCAACGTCGTCGGGCAGAAGAGGATAAAATGGCTGCGATTCGTGCACTTGAGGAACGGTCGTTAGAATTCATGCGCGAGAAAGAAGAGAAGAAGCGATTAGAGCAGCGAATATCAGCATTAACGTCTCAAATGCTCATGAGCAGTCAAAGGCGGTTGATACCTGGTGCTACGGAGGGAGAAGAGACGTTAAATGTTGAAGATCCATTAATCAAAGATGCGCTGAAAGAACATCAAGACCGAATCCGACAAGAGTATGAGTGTCGTCTTGCGGATCTAGAAAAAGAGCGGGAGACGATAGAAGAGGAAAAAGCTCAAGTGGATCGCTACAAACTGTTGCTACTCAAACAACGCGACATAATGATCGCACTTACACAACGACTGAATGAACGAGATGAACAGATTACTGCACTGCAGGATGAACTCGATGCATACGATCGCTATCAAAAAGAACTGGAGGAAAAATTGGATGAAAAGACCGCTCACCTCATTCACTTGCAACGTGTAGCTATGGAGCACAATGCAAATTCACCAGGAAAAATTGATTCTGAATTACTGAAAGCCCTTGGCGACTGGGGTGGAGCCCTTCGAACGACAACCGCCTCGGATTCCATCAGCTCTGAGCCTCCTGAATGTCTTATGTCCCATAAACAGTTTCAACCTCATCGAATTGACTCGATAATCATGAACGATACGAAAGGGAATAATGATGGCAACAACAGTTCTAATCTTTTATCTGCTGATGAGAAAATTCGAGAGTTGCAGTTGTTGGTTGACGCACAGTCGGCTGAAAATCAACGAATAGCCAAAGAGTTGGAAGACGTCAAATTGGAAAAAGCACTGGAGCTTCAGATGCACGGTAAGCTCAAGAAAATTGTGGATGAGAATCGTTCTGATAGTCAAAATTTACAATTAGTGGCAAGTTTGCAGAGGCGAATCGACAATCTACAATCTGAGAACAAAGAATTACAAACTCGAGTTTCTGGTGAAGACCCGACACAACTACAGACACGATATGACACTTTAGTAAAGGAAAGACGGGCGGTGCAGACCATTATGGAACGTAAGATCAAAGCACTTGTGACCGCAATTGGTGAAGCATCAAATGCTACGCTAGAGACTGCGGGTGGGGCTGATAAATTGGGTGAACCTGCTAAGTGGCTTACTCGAGAGATAAACGCGCTTCATAGACTTGTAAATGCCTCTATTGTCGCGCTACGAAACGCTTGCGCTGAAAATGGTGTAGCGAATGGAGATTCTTTTCGAAAGGAATCCAGCAGCAGTCAAGCAATGCCTACGACGGGTTCTGCAGGCATCAATGACAATCGGGAGTTGAGCGGAAAATCTGATGGCTCGATAACTATGTCTCCAAAACAAATTGTATTTCGATCTGCCAATACATAAGCAGATGAGAGATGAAACTTCCTACAAGTCCAATAGAACAATCTAGTGAATAATGTGAACTTCAATTGATTTGCATAGCTTCTTTCGATTAAATGCTATTCGTAGACAAAGTGGTACATAGGAAAACATATCCACGACTCGCGCCTCACATCGCATTCTCGCCAAAGTGCAAAAGCTTTGCTGTGGTGCTTATATCAGCTTTGTAACCTTGAAAATCAATGTCAAACTCATTAGGTTTCGAGCCATCCGGGAGGGGCACACCCCAATCACATTCCTGCTCAATGCCGAGGTTGTTGTGGTGCATTTCGATGCGAAACCAGCCATTCTCACCCCAGTACGTTCCCCACGAGTTCCGTCCAATCCCTAATAGAATATGTACCAAGTTAATATTGCTATTATTCAAGTCTGGCTGCAATTTAGACTTACAGTATTCAGTGTCAGATTCTTCATCATATCCCCAACCGGCTACTGAGATTTCGTGGTTTATCAAGGGAAACATGACGTGCTCCGAGTAGATACCGCCGGTGTATGATTCAAACTTTGTGGTGGCGTGCACACCACAGCCAACGGGGCCACGTTTATAAATCTCCGCCTTCATGCGGTCAGCACCACTTACTGAACCGTATTCGGACACGTAATACTTAGCAAATTTCGGAATTGACTCGCACACGCCAGGTGTGAAAGACTTGTTCGACGGCCAGCAACTATATTAAATGAGCAAAGTCACGTCAGTGGTCCGGGTTCTGTCAGTTCGTTAAAACTAGCATGTTCCGAACTTACGTTTCGCAGATTGCAAACTGATCGCACTGTAAATTCTTGGCCTGATATGCCTGGCACGTTTGATCAGGAATTCCATGACGATATGCATATTCGTACACGAGTCCAGGGTTTCCACCATTGCAAGTGCCACCAGCGTGGCAATTGATAAGTACTTGTGGCGACAATGCAATTTCCGGCCATTTTGCTGCAATTACAAACAATGAATACAAGTGAGTCCATCAATGCAAAATCGGAGACAATAAAATTAACGCACCATTTCTGAGAATAGAAATACGATCCGAAAGCGCGCTGGTTGTACCCTGTGCCCAGCAACTGCCACAGTAGTGTGGGATATGTTGATTCTTGTCCCATGTGACGTAATTTGTTCCATTTACATCTCGCCAATCCCAATTTTGTGGTAAATCACGTATATCCATCGTGTCATGCGGCAGCGGTGAGATAACGCGCTCCCCACCAGCAAAATGCAGCTTCTGACGACACCCATCCCACTTTGAACCAGACGACGCATCTTCTTTCGGTTCTTCAATGGCTTTTTCAATCAAAGAATCCTCAATTATAACTGAAGTTGGCCATCCGTCGTCTTTAGGAACTCCAAATGCGCACTCTCCTTCAACTCCCACATTGTTAACTCCTCGAACAAGTCGCATCCAGCCATGTTCGCCCCAAAAAGTCCCCCAACTGTTACGTAAAACCCAAAAGGGCACACCATGCTCTTCTCCCCATCCAACGATCGAAATGGCGTGATCCACATCTGTCGCGTTGGTCTTATCATCGAAAATACCTCCAGTGTACTTCAGGAACCCGTCAGTAACTGCGACACTGCATGCAATTGGCCCACGCGCGTAAATTTCTGCCATCATCTGCTGCTCGCCTAAGGTAGTACCGACCTCTGAAACATAATACTTGTCGTACGTCTTCTGCGGGAAACAACCTTTAAGTGGTAAACAGTTTTCACACACGTCCATATCCGTGCATGTGTTGCCTGTATCATGCCCCGTAGCGGCATAGCGTTGACATCCTTCTTCAGGAACTCCATTTGCCATGATGTAGCGATATGCCTCTATTTGATCACCGCCATGACAGCCATTGTCTTTCTTATCACAGTTGAGAATCACTTGAGGAGACAGCACTACCTCTCTATGCACGTCAACCTGCGACCTATTGCCTGGATTACGTCCCTTTGCGATGAGAATACGATCTGCTAGAGCTGATGTGGCCGCTGTACAGAATTATCAAGAATAAGAGGATATTAAGCATGATTTAAAGTTGAACTTAATACGCACCGAACGACCAGCACGAGCCGCAGTAGTGCGGGATATGCTGATTGCGCGAGATGCTCACATAACGAGTCCCGTTAACATTACGCCAGTCAAAATTTTTGGGTAATTTTGATACATCGAGATAGTCATGTGGACGGGGCGACGTGAGCGACACAGAGCGATCCGGACTGCGTACGTAGCCAAATCCTCGAGTCTTCGTAAGTTCAAGCAGTGGACTAGGCGTAGCAATAGCAATGACCACTCCCAACGCAAGTATTAATAGTCTCCGCATGACAATGACAAGATTTTATATCCCTTTAGCACCTGCGTGATTGGCGTCAGATAAAATAGTGGGAGACCGTTGTTCAAAAAATCTTTTTATCTATTTTGATGGGGTAAGCGTTTTGTGCGTACAGCATTCAGCGCTTATATGAGCGTTGAGATGCAGCAAGATTCGATTGGCCTTACGTATAGGCAGGTTATCTTCATAGTGATATGGTACGTCTCTATATGAGAATGGAGAGCATGCAGCGACGCCGTATGCTAGCTGCAAGACGCCGGAAGGGGAGCGTTATACGCATCGGTTGTAGTCACAATATTGGTCTATTGACCCGCTGATACGTGTTGCCACTTAGCGTGCACTTAAGGATCTCTAGATTGAGGGCATACTTCGTGACTTTGACGTGTATGACTTTTAGAAACCGCATTTGACCAGATGAGCGGTTTACCAGAGGTTCAACTCAATTTGCATACGGAGCTGATGAAGCAGTCGCTGTCAACGACTGTGAGCAGAACGACATCGCTACTCAGTTAGCAAGAGCTTAGAAAACTAACGACGTTAGACTCGTGCAACTAGCAGACAAAGTCTTGTTCAGCAATTCAGTCCATGGGATTTGCTAAGGCATACGCTACCGTGCTCAATAAGTGAACAAAGCAAGATTAACGATAAATCCCGAAGCTGTGCATGTCAAGTTCGGAAAGGAGCATGTAGTGCAATAGAGAGATTTTTTCATAACTATACACTAGGATATTAAACCAGCACTTTAAAAGGATACGTGACGTTCAATTCTCAATTGTGATATAGCTTTATTGGACGCTGTAAGATTGATTTAAACACGATGACGACAACTACGATAAGATTGACTTTTACTTACAAATGATCTTCACTGGATGTGAGGAGAGATTGAGGCAAATGTCCAGTTTCATTGACTGAAATGACTTTAATTGGACGATGAGCACTTATATCAATACGAGTGATGCTGCAGTGATTAATTTCAAAGTGACCCCAAGTGTTCGTAGCTTCAATCCCCAGCGCACGACACAAGAAGAACCGAATGAGGTTGGCATGACACACAAGAATGCAGTACGACTCATCGTCATCCTCATCTTGAGCTTCAACTGGACTCAAGAAAAATGTGTCGAATGCTTCTTGCATTCGCGCAGTGTCCAATTTATTTCGCTCGTCGTCAATAGTGCTGCTAGATGTGGGTGTCAAGGAAAAATATGGTTTTCCTGGCCACCCTTCGCGCAACATCGAGCTGGAATAAACCATCACGTCGCTCAAATGACTAGCAATGATAGCGCCTGCTTCTACAGCACGAGTCAGATCACTGTGGTAGAGGACAATCATATTGTGTCGCTTCGGAATGCGATTGTGTGCCATACGTAAGCATTTTCCAGTGAACTCAGCCTGTCGCCTCCCCAATTGCGATAGTACTTGCTCTGAGTCAGACACGTGCGGTTTATAAGCATTTATGTAGTGGCCATGACGTACGAGAATCATGTGCTTGGTTTTTGGGGGCATGGCAAGCATAAATTCGCCAAGAGATGAATGAATGTGCTGGTGCATGTCTTGCTCTTTGAGTTGCGTTTGCTGACCTTGAGCGAGTCGATGTATCCTTTTAGAATCAAACAGGGTCGAGTTATTGCTCGTATCGACCAAATTATTTCGATTATTGCTCGAAGATGCTTGAAATCGATGAATTCGATTCACCCATTTGACGTATTCGCCCTTAGTTGGGGCCATAAAAGTGTAGGACATCACTTTTACATCCTTGCCAGATACACTCGGATGATATCGCAGTTGGAACTTGCAGTCGTTTAGGCAAGGCTGAAGCACTAAATCCATTGCATCAATGTTTAATTCGATAGTCTGGTTGTTGTCCTTCGATAGAATTTCAAGCAATAGCCCACCAAGCTTCCTTGTCAGAAGGCAATACATCTGATGTAACATATTATTAGTACTTCATATACATGCTCTCTCTAAAATACAACGCACCGCTCCAAGCGTGATAGATACCGATGTTTCCTGCCCCAGTCTTTTCTGCTCGACCACAAGTAACATTCCTTCCATCACAACTTCGCCTTCAACTTGACCTCCTGGCATTATCGTCCGTAGTGCGCGCTTATTGCCACGTCTTTCATCCAGAACAAATTCTTCACATGTTGCATTTAGACCAAGAAGCATAGTCTCGGTGACTGATCGATGCTTACGCTTCTTGTCGATCGGAAGTTCTGCGTGCACTGTCGTCTGGTCGGAATGCACAGTTCCATAGACTGAATGTTGCTTGTGCCCAGGCGAGCACAATGTGCCTTTTTCACCTTCACTAGCCAGTGATAGCTCCTGAATGCGCACAGATTCATCGTCTCTGCTTGTGTCACGCGTAGGCGCCAGGAGCATGACCAAGTCTGGCGACATACCTTGCACTTCGCAGTTGAAAATTTTTGACGCTGAATTGTGAGTGAAACGCTTTTCGAACCGGCACTCTGAAATGCAAAAAAATCTGGTGAAAAAAAACTCTTTGTAAATAGGCCAAAAGATAGTCCTTAAACCAGAGGGTAACCTTGTTACTTAGGAATATGCTAACCAGTGACTTTGACTGGTGTCATTTAACCTTGCACAACGATGTTGCGATATCAGACAGCCGAACGGAAGCACAGATATCAAACGAAATTCCTCATAAAGCTTTTACTGAAAGTTGCGAGTCGGATTAATATGTACCTACTGTGTAGTACCGGTAACAATGAGTACCGAATATATTCTATTTCTTTCAAAAAAGCGATAATACATATGTTTATACACTGTCAAGCGCCAGGACATTTGCAGAAACAGCAATTTCTGCATAAGTGCTTATACTTACATATTAAATATAAGTCAAGATACCTTTTCATAGGTTCATAAGGTATTGTGTGACTGACTTCGATGTGATGTAATAAATATTGCCCTCTTCAGTACATGGTAGCAGACTCCGATTCTAATACATGTTTGTCATACTCTACCCTTGATGGCATTGTCGAATAGTTAGGGAAGCATTGGTCGCAGACGAATGTAAGATTAATGCGTGAAATAATATAGAAAATCTTATTTGGCCTCATAAAACGCAATTAGCAAATCTATACCGTAACTTGTCTCCCGGATTTTGATTCCGAAAATCTATAAAAGAAAAAGTATTAAAGAACGTGTTCTGATCAACAGGCCACTTTGATAGTGGTATTCATTCCCGCTATAAACCGTTTCTTTCACAGCAATAGCCCTTACCACGGAACAGAGTGACGTCATTGAATCTTAATTGAGCAAAACACGCAACGGGTCTGGTGAAAGTAACTCTTTTCACTCGGCGCCGACATTAAGAAGTCAACGGCAACTGAGATGTTGTGCATACTTATAATAAATTCATTGCAGTCACGACTTCTGCACGAGCGCTGTTCCGAGCAAGGCTAGGCTACAGATTAACATGGCTGGTTGCACTTTTTTCAAAGCTCTTGTCATGTTAAATGGATAAAATCACCTGCTGATGCAGCGATCACTCTATCACTGGGGTGTTCTCCGAACGAGATGCTTTATGAGTGGGCGGTGACTTCTTACGGACTGTCTGAATGCCAGCGAGCCAATCGTTTGGTAAAACAGTTGTCCAACTACATCGTGCCATGCACAACACTTTTGACGGTATTTTATCTAGGGTCGTGCAGAGCTCGGGACTTTGGATGTGACAATCTTCTTCAAAAGAAGACGGACACATACGAAGACTTTCATTCTGGCCACACAAGTGCAGAGGCCATCCATACGACGGTCACTGCGACTGCTTGGGGGCGAGGATCTGCTGCCAACCCGGCAATGAGTGTTCTTAACTCTTGGAAAAAGTCCACCAACTCCTTCTTGCCCTGTCGGGCAGCAAGGAAACGCATCAAACAAATGTGAGCTATACTCGAAAGTATACGCTTCTGTAAGCTTTTTGCCAATTTGGAAAAGTGCGGCCCTGGGGTAGACTAGATCTCCTGTCAGGGTTGTTTTAGTGGAAAGCATGGCCTGCGGACAAATTTCGCAAAGATAAAGGCGACCGCGGATTAGCTGCTCCGTTTGATCCGAAGAGACTTATGGAAGCGGCTTGACCTGGCCAATCACTTACACAAGTACAGTGCAAACTATGCCGACATGGCACGGCCAAATTTATAATACTAAGTCGGAAATAGCAAAGCGCCGCGTAACTACGCACGGAAGCAAAGTGTTGCTAAAAATGATTTAGTACTTTCGGATGGACTAAATACAGGCAATGGTTTTATCTCAGCGAAGTTGGCTACTGGTGCGATGGTTACCTTAAGGCAACATATGGTTAAACTTCAGCTAAGTTTGAAGACGTCAATTCGAAGGAAGTTCTTATGATGAAACAAACGGTATTATCTGCTATGAGGTATACCATTGCTTGTGAAGCATGAGCCCTGAAACGATTGCCGATCGAAAAAAATGCGAGTAGCTCTCCTGGCGTAGGTAAAACTCTTGGGAGTAATAAACACACATGCATTATATACCACAAGAGCGCTTGAGCGCTCGGCAGTCGTATGCTGAAAATGATCGACATTTCTTTGGTATATATCATGCAATAGACATTCCAAATTAGGAAAAATACGGAGTCGTATAGAGTGACCACTGGCGGTCACTCAGGCAGTGTGTCGATAGATCATGTTGTGCCAGAAACTGGCCGCTTGAAAACGAATGAATCGTTGGTGGGTATGGCGATTTGCCCAACAAAAAAATATGCAGGTTGTCGCTACCCTCAAGGCAGAAGAATGTTGTCGACATGTGTTGCTGAAAAGCTGAAGGAACCGTCTGCGACTCTATATGCCAATTCTCTTACTCATACAGGGGTTGAGTCGGATTGTGGGTCAGTGGGTGTTATCGATTGTAATGGGCTACACTTAGCCATAACATGAAGGTACGATGCGTCAGAAGTACATAAACGTACTTCTGACGCATTTTGAAAATTAATATACGAAGAACACAGTCTGTTGTTTCCAAATGCATAAGTGATATCTTATATGAAGTCACAGATATGCTGTGTGATACAGAATTCTGGTTCTTACCTGGGATCTGTACTGGTGAAGAGACTGACGTGTCTCTGTCTTGAGATGCGGGTGGCGTAATCCAGTTTCTTCTACTGAATACTTTCCGCAAAAATGAAGCTCGAGCTTTCAAAGTTAAAGCTCCATACACCCAGGATACTGTATCAGTTGAATCTGAGATTCAACATCTGTACACCCTTGATTTATAGAATAGAAACCCATCCTTTTATTAGTAAACCTCCAGGAGCCCTTGGGGTGTTTTGCATGTGGCTAGGAGCCATGACTCATTTCGATTCAGTGCAAATTTTGCCTAAAAGGGCTTAAGTCGTTCTTCTTCCTTTCAAGTCGGGACTGTCTATCGACCTCCATGTCGGGAATTCCCAGCCTCATTACACAAGCGTGTGTGTTTGATGGACTGATTTTAATCAGCGCCCACTTACACCGATCACATAGGCGATGCTCTCATCCGTTGTGTGGTTGAGCATACGCGTGCGAAGAAGTCAACGGAGATCGTTTATCGCGGTACTGATATTCCCGTTCTGGGTGCGGTAGAGTCCGCGGGTGATTTAGTACAGCGTAATTCTATCTGTGACGAAACTTAGCATGCGAATATGCTAGTCCACGTATTGTAAATACAACGACTGGTTGTGAATTTACCAGAACAGATTTTCTTTTGGAACGGCTACCAACGATGGAAGAGCTGGCGCAGCTCGGGAAGTCACTTAAAATGACTTTCTTCACGACCTCAAGTGTGATGGTATTGCGAAGGTTGTATTGCTACAGTCGAAGGTTGATCGGCGGAGCAAAGCTCATCATCAGTTAGGAAAGATTTGGATTTCGAAGAGTTTCGACTGCGAAGCACCGTTACTGCTTTACCGAATGATACGAAGCTGTAAAGCATGGTGTGGGTCGCTTCTGAGTTTGCAATCGGTTGTGTACTACTGCAAAAGAATTCAGAATGACACGATCGTGTCGTTTTAATTAAAACAGCTGTAGCCAGCGAAAGAAAGCCACCCTGTTCAAGACAAGGAGATTTTGGCAATAATGTATACTATGGTGAAGCTTTGTGTCCACCTCTAAGGTTCAACTCCGTTTGTCGTCAGCGCGTAAATATTACACAACACACGCAAATGCCACTACAGAGTTTCTATTGACTGTTGAGAGACAGTCGCACTCGACGTATTTTTCGAATCCCCCGCAAAGGCCGGTCGTAACAATGGAGTGCTCGTCTTCGTCGTTAGACTCAGCATGATGGCCAGCATCGGTGCATGGAGCGATTCCATTGATGCCAATGGTTCGCCTAGATTGTTCATTGATAAGTTATTTTGCAATGACGGGTTGACAGATGTCATCGTCGCTGATTGGGTACACGATTTACGAGTGGCTTTTGGAAAGATTTGTTTTGAATTCTTATCACTCGCTTGAATATGTCCACGGCGGTACACCCGGAGACCGTTGGGCAAACAGAATGCGCCAAGCGAGTGGTAAATGATGTCTTGAGCAGCTTCTGTGCGGAGAGTTTGCTATGGAAAATTTGGGTCATTCATCCATTGCATTTTTCGCCCGTTATTATAAATGACTTGCGACACCCACAATTACCGCTTTGTGCGATACGTGTCTCTGATGTAAATGGGGGAACTTGGCAAAATTTTGCCTTCCAAATTGATACAAGCAGTGAAGCAAATGTGAAGCGAAAGTACAAGGACGCCCTTGACTCATTCATCATGATTTGTGTGACTATGATCACACGTGTGCGGGATGCAATGGCCAATGCTCAATATTTACACAAAAAACAAGCAGATAGATGATGTCGTCAGCAGTCTAAAAGCTTGGAAAGTTTTGAAGCTATTTCCTCATTCTATCGGTCCATTCTGAGGAGTGTCATGTCATGGAAATGCTTTCACTATCGACCTGCCATGCTGGCTAAAGACACATCCAGCATTCTATTTAAGACACCCCAAGTCCTATCATCGCGACGACGCAAATAACAACCTCGATAAACGCAGGCTTATACGAATATGATTTCAGAACCACAGATTTGGCACGAGAGTCAAATTTTGACAACCTATGCGTCTTCACCTCAGTATCATCCCAAAGAATAATCGTAAACTTCGGGACTAATTAAACGATCGTGCGAGCCGAAACTTCGACGAAAAGCAGACATATGCTTATCGCGTTGGTAACTATAACGAGAAGCATACCCACCCGAGCCAGAGAAGGTCGCTTGGCAGAAGGCTCCCCATCATCAGCGGCAGCAGCCATGACGGTGTGCGAGATCGCAAAATTTGCAAACGACCCGTCGAGTATCCATCTCGCACCCTCGACACCCGATAAACATCTTGATCATCTGCCGGCTTACAACTGACTGGAGCTCCCCCACCTTCGTTTATCGCCGTTATAAACTAGAAGAAGACTGTGGAACAGCCACAGAAAAAACAGATAGGATGTCCTCTCCGGGTGCCTCCCCTGATAAGGCAAACCGATACTGCCATGACGAGAACGTGGTGGCGGACTTT